TGAGGCGGACAGATCACCTGAGGTCAGGAGTTCGAGATCAGCCTAACCAACACGGTGAAAACCCGTCTCTACTAAAAATACAAAAATTAGTTGAGCATGGTGGTGTGCGCCTGTAGTCCCAGCTACTTGGGTGGCTGAGGCAGGAGAATCACTTGAACTCAAGGGTTGGAGGTTGCAGTGAGCTGAGATGGCGCCACTGCACTCTAGCTTTGGCGGCAGAGTGAGACTCTGTCTCAAAAAAATAAATACATAAAAATAAGTAAAAAAGGTATAGCTCCAAGTCTTTTCTTTAACGTTAAAGTCTGACATTAACACCTCAAAGCAGAATCTTGTTATTTCCAGTGGTATTCGTTTTCATGAATTCATTTGTTTAATGCTGGAACTATATATAATTCTTTTTTGTTTTGTTTTGTTTTTTATTTTGCAGCGCATAGTAGAGGTGTGAGACTATATATGATTATATAATTCTCTTGGCTGTTTTCTGAGAAAGCTTACAGGAGGAATGGAGATATATATATATATATATATATATACATATGTATTTTTTTTTTTTTAAATGGAGTCTCAGTCTATTGCCCAGGCTGGAGTGCAGTGGTGTGATCTCAGGCCACTGCAACCTCTGTTTTCCCAGTTCAAGCGACTCTTCTGCCTCAGCCTCCCAAGTAGCTGGGATTACAGGCGCACACCACCATACCTGGCTAATTTTTGCATTTTTACTAGACACAAGATTTCGCCATGTTGGCAAGGCTGGTCTCAAACCCCTGACCTCAGGTGATCCACCCACCTCGGCCTCCCAAAGTGCTAGGATTACGGGCTTGAGCCACCGTGCCCAGCTAGATACCACTAGTTACTGAAACTAGAGTTTTATGTTAGAATGGACATTTCTTTCTGTTGTTTATATTTCTCCCCACCCCCATGATGTACAACCTTCCTATTAAGAGAATGTTGAGTTGTTGTGATGACTAATGTTAAATGATATTATGTTTATCTGAATTAGTTTATATTGAATCACCATTTCATGAAGTCACCTCAAAATAAATTGATGACCCTAAGAAAATAATCACTTTTAGGAAACCATTAGTTTGGACAATGTGTTTCTACTGTCAGGTTAAAACAAAATAGAATTTTATGTTTGAAAAATTAGAAGCAGTTAATTGTACTCAAATCATGACTCTCTCCTAAGGAAAGTACTTTGCAGATTATAATTATCAGTAATACTTTTTGTACATGAAAAAGCAAGCATTGAAGAAATTAAGTGTTTTGTGGTTCTGTGTGAAATTAGAGCCAGGAATGAGACTCTATATTTCTGGTTCTTGTTCTTGTACCAAAGATAGGCAACTGACCACAAATAGGCAACTTTTAGAATTTAGCCAAGAATAAAGGAAATTGTCAAGATAACCTTAATAAATTTAAGCAATATCAATATGCAATCCTCTTTCACATTAAATTTATAAAATCATGTTTAATGCCAGGCGCAGTGGCTCGCACCTGTAATCCTTGCACTTTAGGAGGCCAAGGTGGGTGGATCACTTGAGATCAGGAGTCTGAGACCAGCCTGGCCAACGTGGTGAAACTCCATCTCCATGAAAAGTTCAAAAATTAGCCAGGTGTGGTGGTGCGTGCCTGCAGTTCCAGCTACTAGAGAGGCTGAGGCAGGAGAATTGCTTGAACGTTAGAGGCAGAGGTTGCAGTTGGGCAGCACAGCGAGACTCTGTTTCAAAAAAAAAAAAAAATCATATTTAATCTATACTTTAAGACATGAAATTTTGTATTCTCACTTTCAGCTGGGATTCCTAGTCACTTAAGAGAGTCATTCTTTTTCTTCGAAACAGGATCTATCTCTTATCGCCCAGGCTGGAGAGGAGTGGCTCTGTCTCAGCTCGCTGCAGCCTTGACCTCCCAGGCTCAAGAAATTCTCCCACCTCAGCCTCCTGAATAGCTGGGAACAGGTGCACGCCACTGCACCAGACTTTTTGAAGAGGCAGGGTTTTACCATATTGCCTAGGCTAGTCCCTAACTCCTGGGCTCAAGTGATCCTCCCACCTGGACCTCCCAAAGTGTTGGGATTACAGGTGTGAGGCATCACACCTGACCCTGGGAGTAATTCTTGACTCCTCCTGTTACCAGAAAGGGGTCCCAATCCAGACCCCAGGTTCCAAGAGAGGGTTCTTGAATCTTGGGCAAGAAAGAACTGGGGTGAGTCCATGGTGCAAAATGAAAGCAAGTTTATCAGAGAAATAAATAATCAAAAGAATGGTTACTCCATAGGCAGAGCAGCCTTGAGGGCTGCTCATTGACTATTTTTATGGTTATTTCTTGATTACATGCTAAACAAGGGGTGGATTATTCATGAGTGTTCAGGGAGATGGTGGGCAATTCCTGGAACTGAGGGTTCCTCCCCTTTTAGACCATCTAGAGTAATTTCTTGATGTTGCCATGGCATTTGTAAACTGTCATGGCACTGGTGGGAGTCTTTCAGCATATGAATACATTATAATTATAAATAAATATAATGAGCAGTGAGGATAACCAGAGGTCACTTTCATTACCATCTTGATTTGGTGAGATTTGGCTGGCTTCTTTACTGCATCCTTTTATCAGCAAGATCTTTGTGACCTGTATCTTATGCTGACCTCCTATCTCATCCTGTGACTGAGAACCACTTGGGAATGCAGTCCAGCAGGTCTCAGCCTTATTTTTTTATTATTTTTTGTGATGGAGTCTCGCTCTGTTGCCCAGGCTGGAGTGCAATGGTGTGATCTCAGCTCACTGCCTCCTGGGTTCAAGCTATTCTCCTGCCTTAGCCTCCTGAGTAGTTGGGATTACAGGTGCCCACCACTATGCCTGGCTAATTTTTGCAATTTTAGTAGAGATGGGGTTTCACCTTATTGGCCAGGCTGCTCTTGAACTCCTGACCTCAAGTGATCCGCCCGCCTCAGCCTCCTAAAGTTCTGGGATTACAGGCGTGAGCCACTGCACCTAGCCAACTCAGCCTTATTTTACCCAGCCCCAATTCAAGATGGAGTCGCTCTGGTTCAAATGCCTCTGACATTGCCTCTCTCAAGTTACATTATATTAACAGAGTCTTTTAAGCTCTGCTCTTATGTTTTTCTTTTTCCTTTTTTTGGAAATTATTTCAAGCTTATAAGAAAAGTTGCAAGAATAGTTTTATAGTGAAAAGAATAGTTTTTCCTCAAACCATTTTTATTTATTTTTATTTTTATGTATTTATTTTTTTAAGACAGGGTTTCACCATGTTGTTCAGGCTGGTCTTGAACTCCCGACCTCAGATGATCCGCCTGCCTTGGCCTCCAAAGTGCTTCGATTACAGGCGTGAGCCACCACACCCAGCCACCATTTTTATTTTTATTTATTTATTTACTTATTTATTTTGAGATAGAGGCTTGCTCTGTCACCCAGGCTGGTGTGCAGTGGCATGATCTCAGCTCACTGCAACCTCCACCTCCTGGATTCAAGTGATTCTCCTGCCTCAGCCTCCCGAGTAGCTGGGATTACGGGCATGTACTACTATGCTTAGATAATGTTTTGTATTTTTAGTACAGACAGGGTTTTACCATGTTGGCCTGGCTGGTCTCAAACTCCTAGCCTCAAGTAATCTGCCCACCTTGGCCTCTCAAAGTGCTGGGATTACAGGTATGAGCCAGTGTGCCAGCGTAATTTTTTCTTTTTTAAAATAGGGCTCAAAGCCATTCTCCCACCTCAGCCTCCCAAGCAGCTGAGACTACAGGCACAGGCCATGACCCCCAGCTAATTTTTGTATTGTCTGTAGAGACGGGGTTTTGCCATGTTGGCCAGGCTGGTCTTGAAACTCCTGGGCTCAAATCATCCTCCTGCCTCAGCCTCCCTGGTAGCTAGGGTTACAGCACTCTGGGAGGGGGAGGCGGGTAGATCACGAGGTCAAGAGATCGAGACCATTGTGACCAACATGGTGAAACCCTGTCTCTACTAGAAATGCAAAAATTAGCCAGGTGTGGTTGTGCATGCCTATAGTTCCAGCTACTCGGAGGCTGAGGCAGAAGAATTGCTTGAACTGGGAGGTGGAGGTTGCAGTGAGCAGAGATCACGCCACTGCCCTCTAGCCTGGCAACAGAGTGAGATTTCATCTCAAAAAAGAAAAGAAAAGAAAAGAAAAAAACACTGAAGCACAAGATAGAAGTTGTAACATTTTCTTCCTTTATTCCAGTGAACTTTCTTCTGCACAGGAGGAGTTGTGTGTACTCCTCCTTGTAGACCACTGATCCATAAGACAGAGTTCAAAGTCCTTCCCCTGTTATAAACAGAGTCCTTGTCTCTCATCTCTTCCTACCTTGATCCTTATGCTCCCACAACATTAATTTTTTCTTTTTTTTGAAATGGAGTCTTACTCTGTTGCCCAGGCTGGAGTTCACTGGTACCATCTTGGCTCACTGCAACTCTGCCTACTGGGTTCAAGCAATTCTCAGATCTCAGCCTCCCGAGTAGCTGGAATTACAGGCGCACGTCACCACACCCGGCTAATTTTTGTATTTTTAGTAGAGATGGGGTATTGCCATGTTGGCCAGGCTGGTCTCGAACTCCTGACCTCAAGGGATCTGAAAACCTTGGCCTCCCAAAGTGCTGGGATTACAGGCATGAGCCACTGCACCAAGCCTGATTGTCTGTTTATTTATTTATTTATATTTTTTGAGACAGAATCTCGCTCTGTTGCCCAGGCTGGAGTGCAGTGATGCAATCTTGGCTCACTGCAACCTCCACCTTTGGGTTCAAGTGATTCTCCTGCTTCAGCCTCCCGAGTAGCTGGGATTACAGAGCCACCATGCCCGGCTAATTTGTGTTTTTAGTAGAGATGGGGTTTCTCCATGTTGGTCTAAGGCTGGTCTCAAACTCCGAACCTCAGGTGATCCGCCCACCTCGGCATCTCAAAGTGCTGGGATTACAGGCGTGAGCCACCATGCCTGACCTGAATATATATTTTTAAAGATATTGTTATTATTTGTTTGCTTTGTTTGGAATGCTTCATGAATTTACATGCCATCTTTGTGCAGGGGCCATGCTAATTTTCTCCGTATTGTTCCAATTTTAGTGTATGTGCTGCTGAAGTCTCCTACACATTGTGCTATTTCTTGCCTCTGTGCCTTTGCTCAGGCTGTGTGCCTGGCATGCCATTTCCTTTCTTTGTCTGGCTAACTTTATTTATTTATTTATTTGAGATGGAGTCTCACTCTGTCTCCCAGGCTGCAGTGCAGTGGCACAATCTCGGCTCACTGCAACCTCTGCCTCCCAGGCTCAAGTGATTTTCCTGCCTCAGCCTCCTGAGTAGTTGGGACTACAGGTGCCCACCACTACGCTCGGCTAATTTTTGTATTTTTAGTAGAGACGGGGTTTCACCATATTGGCCAGGCTGCTCTCAAACTCCTGACTTCAGGTGATCCTCCCTATTCGGCCTCCCAAAGTGCTGAGATTATAGGCGTGAGCCACTGCGCCCAGCTGTTTTGTCTCATCTCAAACACATCATACGCTCCAGGAAGTTCCCTGACATTTCTTTTTTTTTTCCTCCTTTGAGGTTTTGTTAGGTGTCCCTCCTCTTGGCTACCAAGTTCCTAGTGTGTCGTTCTTTTCTTGTGCCTATTAATTGTATTTTAATTGTCAGGGGCAACCTGCACTGATTTAACTTATGTTTCTGCAACCCTAGAAGATTGGGGCTGAAAGAGAAATTAAGTTGGGTTATAGAAAAGTAGAAAAAGTTGGGTCGGGTGCAGTGGCTCACACCTGTAATCCCAGCATTTTGGGAGGCCGAGGAGGGCAGATTGCTTGAGCTTAGGAGTTTGAGATCAGCCTGGGCAACACGGTGAAACCCCATCTCTACTAAAATACAAAAAATTAGCCAGGTGTGGCAGCCTGTGCCTGTAGTCCCAGCTACTCGGGACGCTGAGGCAGGAGAATTGCTTGAACCTAGGAGGCAGAAGTTGCAGCGAGCTGAGATTGTGCCACTGCACTCCAGCCTGGGCAACAGAGCGAGACTCTGTCTCCAAAAAAAAAAAAAAAAAAAGAAAAGAAAAATTTGTATTTTTTGCACACTTGAGAGTTTTCAGACTGAAATTTGAATCTACTAATCTTATTGACCTTGGCCCTTGGTACAGAGAGTTGTACTTTGCCCAGGTGTTAGGTTCAAAAGTGAGTTATGTGAAAAGCACATATATATTCATCAGGTGGACTGGTAGGAAACAGATGGCATCGCCAAATGCAGATATTTAAGGAAAGTTTAAAAGGGGACTCTATGTCGAGACCGGCCTGACCAACATGGTGAAGCCCGTATCTACTAAAAATACACAAATTAGCCAGGCATGGTGGTACATGCCTGTAATCCCAGCTACTCAGGAGGCTGAGGCAGGAGAATCACTTCAACCTGGGAGGCAGAGATTGCAGTGAGCCGAGATTGCACCACGGCACTCCAGTGTGGGCCACAGAACAAGACTCCGTTTCAAAAAAAAAGGCGACTCTGTGACGCTATCACTGTGAGGTTGACCTCCACAATAGATTGCGCAACACTCAAGACTTGTATAGCAGGTTGTTTCCATTCCTAGGCCTACAGTGGCCATGAGAGGAACTGGTTACAGGAATGCAGAGTTAGAGAAAGCTGTGTGGGCAAGGTCACCTGACAGAGTATAGATGTTTGAAGTGACCCTGATGGGAAACAAACACTCTGACCTTGTTCTCTCGCTCCATCTTCTGTCTCCTGCCAGAAGCTCCCACCTTTAACTGAACCCAGCTCAAAGTCATAGAGCAAGTCAGCCTGTTGCTGTTGGAGTCCTAGGCACAGAGTATGGTGGGTAAGGTGGAGAGAGCATCAAGCAGGCACACCGAGACATCCAGCACAACAGATGACCCTGAGTGTCACAGTAGGTAGTGGTGAGTCAGACACGAGCAGGGTAGGAGAGACTGCCTCCCCACAACCACCACTAGGAATGTCAGGCAAGCATCAAGTGAGGGTAAGGTGGTTATTAAATGGTCTCGCTAAAATAATAATAGGTCACAGCTGGAGCCAGGGAAAGGCAGTCTCCCAACAGATAAAAACACCTGAAACTGGTGATCAGCAGCTTCCCAATACGATCTCAGGAGTTAGGCAAGTGGGCTCAAGCATGTGCATTAAGAGACAAAATGATGGCGTTTAATTGGCATATGACCTTCTATGTGACCTTCTTCTGGGAATGCTAGACTGGTAAGGGAAGTATGTTAGCGGTGGAAATTATCCGAGTCACACAGCTCCAAGATATGTTACCAGCAGCGAATCTGTACGGGTCAGCACCAACCTCAGTTCTTGCCTCCTCAGAAGAAAGAATTTGACCGAAGGGCATAAGGCAGAAGGAGAGACCAAGCCAAGTTTTAGAGCAGGAGTGAGTTTACTAAAAAGCTTTAGAGCAGGAAAGAAAGGAAAGTACACTTGGAAGAGGGCCAAGGGGGTAACTTGAAAGGCAAGTGTGTGGTTTGACCTTTTGACTTGGGGCATACTTGGGGCACACTTCTCAGGGCTGGCGTGCCTTCTGCCCTGAGTCTTCCCTTGGGGTGGCCTGCTAGCATCTGGTAGGTGAGCGCACACAGTGAGTGTACTGGAGCTGTATGCGTGCTCACTTGAGGTGTTCTTCCCTTACCAGCCAAATGTCCCTAGAAGGTGGTCATGTACGTTAAACTCTGTCATTTTGCTTCTTAATGCTCATGCTTGAGCCCACTTTCCCAACTAAGATCTTATCAGGATCTTATCAGTTTCAGGTGGTTTTTTTTTTCCTTTTTTTTTTTTTTTAAAGACGGGGTTTCACCATGTTGGTCAGGCTGGTCTTGAACTCCTGACCTCATGTGATCCTCCCACCTTGGCCTCCAAAGTGTTTGGATTACAGGCATGAGCCACCACGCCTGGCCTAAAAAAAAAATCTTGTTCATTGCTGTAAGTTTGACGTCTTCCTAAAGCATAATGAGATTTTCTGATGAGACTGGTGGTGATATTAAAAGGTGTGGTTAATAAATGTATAATGAAATGTATCAACATTCAAAAGGTCTGCATAATTCAGTGAACCAACATTTCTCAAGTGGTCAATGAATGATGTTCAAAATTATTCCTGGGCAAATGATCCAAAGTGCAAAATAGACTTTTTTTTATTTTTTTATTTTTTTTATTTTTAGTAGAGGTGGGATTTCACCATGTTGGCCAGGCTGGTCTTGAACTTCTGACTTAAAGCAATCCTTCTGCCTTGGCCTCCCAGAGTACTGGAATTACAGATGTGAGCCACTGTGCCTGGCCTCCCCTCATGGGTTTTAATGTAGCAGAGTATGAAATTTTTATTGATGTGGTTTCAGATCCCACATTGCAAGTAATTTTAAAGGAATCATCACTTGTTGGCTGGGTGTGGTGGCTCACTGCTGTAGTCCCAGCACTTAGGTAGACTGAGGCAGGTAGCTGAGGTCAGGAGTTCAAGACCAGCCTGGCCAACATGGTGAAATCCCGCCTCTACTAAAACTATAAAAATTAGCCGGGTGTGGTGGCAGATGCCTGTCATCCCAGCTACTCAGGAGGCTGAGGCAGGAAAATTGCTTAAACCAGAAGATGGAGGTTGCAGTGAGCTGAGGTTGCACCACTGCACTACAGCCTGGGTGACAGAGTGAGACCCTGTCTTGAGAAATCATCACTTGTTGAATTTTGGCGTATCAGAGAAAAACATCCACAATAACACCCCTCCCCCCCTTTTTTAAGATGGAATTTCACTCTTGTTGCCAAGGCTGGAGTACAACGGTGTGATCTTGGCTCACTGCAACCTCCATCTCCCAGGTTCAAGCAATTCTCCTGCCTTAGCCTCTTGAGTAGCTGAGATTATAGGCATGTGCCACCACACCCAGCTAATTTTTTGTACTTTTTAGTAGAGACAGGGTTTCGACATGTTGGTCAGGCTATTGAACTCCAGACCACAGGTGATCCGCCCACTTCGGCCTCCCAAAGTGATGGGATTATAGGTGTGAGCTGCTGCGCCTGACCACTCCTTGCTTTTCTTGTTTTTTGTTTTGTTTTGTTTTGTTTTTGAGATGAAGTCTCACTCTGTCACCCAGGCTGGAGTGCAGTGGCACGATCTCAACTCACTACAACTTCCACCTCCTGGGTTCAAATGATTCTCCTACCTCAGCCTCTCAAGTAGCTGGGATTACAGGTGTGCACTACCATGCCTGGCTAATTTTTGTATTTTTAATAGAGGCAGGGTTTCACCATGTTGGCCAAGCTAATCTCGAACTCCTGACCTCAGGTGATCCACCTGCCTCAGCCTCCCAAAGTGTTGGGATTACAGGCGTGAGCCACCATGCCCGACCCACTCCTTCCTTTTCTAACTGCACATCCATGTGTCAATGCCTTCCAGCCAAAGATTACCAGGAACACAGCTATAATTGGAAAAGTTGGATTTGTTAATCATTGTAGTGAGGGAGAACATACATATAGGGAACTGTTGGGCACCTTAGTAAGATAATTTTAGAAAAGACTTGTAGATTTGGGCTTGTGTTAGGTGATTTTGGGGACAGTTTAAGAAAGTGGGATTTTTTTGCTTTGGATTGGATTGTTAGGAAATGGGGATAATTCTTTCTTTCTTTTTTTTTTTTTGAGACGGAGTTTCGCTCTTGTTACCCAGGTTGGAGTGCAATGGCGCGATCTCGGCTCACCGCAACCTCCGCCTCCTGGGTTCAGGCAATTCTCCTGCCTCAGCCTCCTGAGTAGCTGGGATTACAGACACGCGCCACCATGCCCAGCTAATTTTTTGTATTTTTAGTAGAGACGGGGTTTCATCGTGTTGACCAGGATGGTCTCGATCTCTTGACCTTGTGATCCACCCGCCTCGGCCTCCCAAAGTGCTGGGATTACAGGCTTGAGCCACCGCGCCCGGCCCGAAATGGGGATAATTCTATGATTGGGTATCATAATCTTTTTCCCTTCAAGTTTTAATGCAAGCTAATTATTTTATTCCTGTGTCTTTCCTATTGTTTCTTCCTTGTATTTGCCCTTTTCCTTTCCTACTTGGTGGGATTTGGCTTTCTGTTCAAGGATCTTTTTGTGGTCTTTGTCCAGTTTTAGCCTAGTGA